ATACGATCATCCATCTCACGCCTTATTGAGGTTTCCCACGTCTCAGCTAGAGAAAGCTGAGGTCAAATCTTGGGAATAGTCTGCGATATGCCAAGTTATTTATATTCAATTGCTCCTCCTGTCAACTGAAGATCCCTTTGAAGCTCAGAAATCTGGCATCAAAAGTAAGAGGATGGTACGACTCTATTAAAATGCAATTTAACATGCTTTACCTCATACGGAGGTTGGAGAATCCAATCTGGTGGGACACACACACACACACATCCACAAATGGCCACTTTCCTTTACTGTCTGTGCAATATAAAGGAAGAACAGTCATTGTAAGCCCTTTATTGGCTTTGAAAACGGCTTTGAGTTGCATTCTGGCCGTCCATATCAGAAATATGGCTCACAAAGATACACGCTATCGTTCCAAGACACAAGTCATAAACGCAGTGATAGAATCATTCCTCACTCTGACTGTCATTGTCATATGGAGGGGCACGGTGCCATTGTAAACAGTTCTCTTATTAACTTTCATATGGTTCCTTTGGTGACTGTTACAGTTTGTCAGAGCTTGTGTGCTGAGGTTTTGCTGGAAACTGCTGTTAAAGAGCTGTGTGGAGGCTCTAAATAGTGCGCAGAGCCTTTAATGCTTTTCTTTTTTAGGATGACTTTATGTTTTCCATATTTAGAACAGTGAGCAAAACACATTTAACATTCTAGGCTGCAGATAATCAAACGCACCGCTCTCTGCCTGAAGATTTAGCATTTAGCATTTAGATGAAGTTTTTAGCATTTTATTTTTGTCCTGCATTATGCAAGTAATGAATTTCTTATAAAGTCTTATAAAGTGCAGAAATTCAGCAATTATAATTTCTCTAAGAAATATAATTAAAAATAATCTGTCAGTCCTTTAAAATATTTAATCACAGTTCATTTTTGTAATTATTGTGTTAAAGTATTCAGTTCCTTTTAAAGGAAAAAAAGTAAATATAATCATTAGGTTAAAATTGTATATTTATCAATGTGAATCTACAATAATTAAATAATAGGTCAACTTTCCCTGCTGTTGTCTGTTCAAAAGTTTGGGGTTGGTATGGTTTTTAAATTCTTTTGAAAGAAGTTTCTCACCAAGGCTGCATTTATTTGATCAAAAATACAGAAAAAAAAAAATTTTGTGATACATTGTTACGATTTAAAATAGCTGTTTTCTGTTCAGGGCTCGCAAAATTTCAAAATCCATGGTAGCCCTTCGGTCAGGCAAAAATTAATTTAACTAGCCCGAATAAAAGATATTGTATTTTTTCGTCAAATAACAAGTCAAGAGAGTAGGGGTGCAATGGATCACAAATCTCACGGTTCGGATTATATTACATTATCATATCAGAAAAAAAGGTGTCCTTTTGTTATTTCTCAGACCAAAAGGCTGCACATTACTTAGTGAAATTGAAAATGTCAAACAATATACTAACTTGAAATTTGAAAACAAATCCCAAATGAAATAAATAAATAATGCAAATAAAAGAAATGTCTTCATGCAAGTAAACTAAGGTTTTGTCTGTGTACTTTAATCACAATCCAAACAAAGCTGCTGCATGCATGTTATTTAGATTGTAAAACAAAATGGTCTGACTTTAGCTTTGTGATACTACATAAAAAATCTGAACAAAACAAAAACAGCAGACGGGCTGAATGAGATGCAAATGTCACTCTCTGACAGCAGGTGGCGCTTAAACAGCAGGTATTTATAGGCTGCTGCCCCTTTATGACCGACTGCACAGATCCAATATAATGATGCACGTGTGATTTCTTTCTCCATTGTTTACGTTCATTTAAGACATGAAAATACTTGAAGTGATAGTTATTTTGATGACAGCAGGTGGCGCTTAAACAGCAGGTATTTATAGGCTGCTGCCCCTTTAAGACCGACTGCACAGATCCAATATAATGATGCACGTGTGATTTTTTTCTCCATTGTTTACGTTCATTTAAGACATGAAAATACTTGAAGAGATAGTTATTTTGATATAATTTTGCGTGTATGTGTCCGTTCAAGCGAAAGAGGAATCAGTTCTGTGTTCGTGCTCTGCCTGAAACGCCGCTCTGTATGTGCGCGCGAGGCGCCAGCACAGAACTGAATTCTTCATGCACATGAATGGTTTAAAATGCTTGAATGTTTAAATTGGTAAGACTTAGAAACAAATGTAAATGATAAACTATGATCCGTTTCACCCCTACAAGCGAGTGAACAACGCGAATTAAGGATATGGATAATTTTATATCACTATTTAAGATAGCCCGTCGGGCAGGGCAGTGATACATTTTGGTAGCCCGACTGGAAAACACAATAGCCCCGGGACGTCGGGCTAGGGATTTTGCGAGCCCTGCTGTTTGAATATATTTTGAAGTGTAATTTATTCATGTGATGGCAAAGCTGAATTTTTGTTTTCAGTATTTTTGATTAATATGAAGTTCAAAAAACATCATTTTATTTATTTTTATTTAAGGGCTTATTTTTCTAAGATTATTGAATTGTGTTGTTCACCCTGTGTGTGACAAACTGGAGAAAATGGTTAACTTGACCTATATATATATATAAAGGAAAAGAAAACAATCAGAAAAGTATATGGCTCTCTGTCACATATAAAGAGTATGTACACTTAGATTGATGTTAAATGAATTATTTATAGCCAAGTGTCTCTGGAGGAACATGTCTTTAGTGACTAAAACAGGATAAAACCGTGGTACTGCCTGGCTTTGTTGGTACCAGCTCAGGCGGTGACGGCAACCTTTGTTGAGTTGTCTCAGCTTTGAAATGCAAAACCAAACCTCTTGACAGAGTACACGTGTCAAAATAACATCTGTATTCAATAGCAGAACGAAACGTTTCAAACGACACTGGTATTTTTCTGATCATACCATCAGTGCCACCTATTATTACATTTACTGAGAACATCACTTTTGAGCACCTAATGATAATGCTAATTGTTTAAAGCAGCGTGCTCATACACTGTGTTTTGTTTTGTAAGGTTTCACAAAAGGGGATATCGTGCATACACCGCCTGAAGGCATTTATTGAATTAATTTTCAACAGAAGCATTTCTGCTACAGTTCGTTGTGGATCTTCATTTACAGTGGAGGGAATTAGTTAATGGCCTCTAAAGGACTTTATTCTACCGTCACGGCAGTCAAGTCAAACATATTTTGCCGGCCATCATCGAGGCAAAAGTGCAGGATGCTCTCCAGAGATTTGAGACATTATACTGAACTGACCTTTAACTTAACTGACCTTTATGTTGCAGGACAGTTTTTATAATATGAGCCATGGTTTTGTGAGGAAAGGCTTGTAAAGTTATTGGAGGGATTCATGGTTCTGTACTCAAAATAGTATGTGTGAATTCTCACGGTGCCTGTGCCAAAAACAACAGCTCAACAATCTTGATTCCTCTAAGATCCCTGCAACAAACTGGATTTCACTTCATGTGAATATACATGTTAATGTCTTCTTCAAGGTTGTTTTTAATAAACAGGAAGAAAAGGGCTGTCTACATATAATATTTTTTTTTTCAGAAATCATTCTAATATTCTTCTTATTATCACTGTTGAAAACAGTTGTGCTACTTAATATTTTTTGTGGAAACCATGATGCATTTTTATAGGATTCTCTGATGAATATAAAGTTCAAAATAATTTATTTAAAAACAGAATATTTCATGACATTAGAAATGTGTTTACAGTTACCTTTGATCAATTTACTTACTGAATAAAAGTATTAATTTCATAAAATAAATAAATGGTGACCCCAAACTGACTGGTAGTGTATGTAAATCAATTATTTATTCCAATATTTTAATTATTCCAATAATTTATTATGTCCTCAACATTGTTCTAACACCCCAAAAAAACATTTGATTGTTTATTTGCAAACACATATTCTCTGTGAGTGTTGTAGTAAATGTTTAACACTCCTTTTGAAAAGTAGGCCATAATTTGCTCTCCTGAAGGGAGGATGTCGACACCCTATACTGCTATTCCCCGTAGGGTAACTAAATAAGGTATTTGTAACATCTTTAGTTTTGCTGAGTTGTAGACTTCTTGAGATCTGCAGGCCCTCATAAAGGCCTGAATTGTGGCTTACTCTGCAGTCTATTTAAATTGTGTTCAAACTGCAAAGGCAATCAATAAATCAACCTTGTGAAATGTGTCTAGTTTGCAATTTTTCAGCCCCAAATAGAAATAGTACCCAAGAAATATTTCATAGATTTTTTCTGTAATATTTATTTGAAGTTTTCCAAACTAAGTCCAAATCAAATCAAGCACAAACCAACACAGAAACTTTTATGAAGAGAGGTAACTGATTGAGAATTATCTATGATTTAATAGAAAATGTGCTTAATCATACCTAGTGTGTTTGCTGTGCACTGAGTTATTAATGTTACATTTATTGAATGTTACGTTTATGCTCTGTGGAAAAGACCATTGATTTCTTAATTATGGCAGTCTATATTCATGATAAAGAGTATCATGTGTCATTATCGACAAGGGTAATTTACAATTGAAACACACATACAGTGGGGCAAAAAAGTATTTAGTCAGCCACCAATTGTGCAAGTTCTCCCACTTAAAAAGATGAGAGAGGCTTGTTCAGCCCCAAATAGAAATAGTACCCAAGAAATATGTTACCGATTTTTTCTGTTAAATTTATTTGAAGTTTTCCAAATCAAATCAAGCACAAAACAACCCAGAAACATATGAATCATTTTTAAAGAGAGGTAACTGATTGAGAATGATCTGTGATATGATAGAAAAATCATACTTAGTGTGTTTGTTTGAGTTATTAATGTTACGTTTATTGAATGTTACATTTATGCTCTGTGGAAAAGACCATTGATTTCTTAATTATGGCAGTCTGTATTCATGATAAAGAGTATCATGTGTCATTATCTACCAGGGACATTTACAATTGAAACATATACCTATATATTTGTTGAGATATTAACAATTTTGGTGTTTTACAGTTCCTCCAAAGATCGTGAACCTGTCGAAGGACCTTGTGGTGAATGAAGGCTCCAACGTGACTTTAATGTGCCTGGCTAATGGAAAACCAGAACCTGCCATCGGCTGGAGGATGTTATCACCTTCAGGTAAGATGCATATCATGCTTTTATGTGCAGAAAATATTTAACATAATCAGTGAAAAGTAAGCAAATCTTTAGTCAATAGCTTTTGCCTTCAAAATGAAACCGCAATCCTCAATATCGGTCCAGTACTGCTCATGTATTTTCCCAGTACAAAGAACGGTGCACTTTTTTCCTTGATGATTTAGCAAAATACTGCAACCCACTGACATATTAAGCACAGGTAAGATAATATATCAGGAGTCTTTTTCACTGAGAGCTCTGTGTGTGTGGATGTGTGTGTTTTTTTTATATGCACCATACAAGCTGAGTGGTCCGTTTTGCTTATCTTCAGGCCACATTAACAAATCAGCTCAATTTGGGCCTATCTGCAGCTCTGTTCTGCCGTGCACCATTTCACTTAATCAGGGAAAATACTGCATTTTAATGCGCTATGATTCATGGGGTGCAATTGGATTGCTGTACCTGCTCATGCTCCCTGCACACCCCTCCCCATTTTCTTCCTTTGTGTTGTTACAAGGATCAGGTAATTGAAATGTTAATGTGACATAGACGTGACTGCTCTGTTTGTTTGTTTTTAAGTGAAAGAGTTTGAGATGGGATTCCATTATGATACAGTACAGTTGTCTGCTAAGAACATCAAATGCTTTTAGGAATAAAAGATCAACTGTTAGAGCAGATTCAGTCAAGTCAGAGTCTTGTTGGACCACAGGATCAACTTGTTTTTTCCCCACATCATTTGCAAGGTGGACACTGTTAATATACTTCCATTGTCAACAGATTTCAATCTTAAAAGGATAGTTCAGTTTAAAAGGTAAAGAAATAAATGTAAAGAAGTTATTTTGAGAAATTTCTCATATTTTTTTTTTGGTTCATACAATAAATGTCAAAGTTGTTTTAGACCCCACTGTGCTCCATGGAAGAAAGTAAGCCTTGTGGGTTTAGAACTAGTCGATGGAAGTTTTTTGCAGTTTTACTTCCTTAAGGCCCAGATATACTCACTAAGGAGATCTTCGCTTAGGAGTAAAAATAAGTTGTTTAAAAAAGAAGTTTAATATACACAAGCAGTGGAATACTGTTAGTGAACGTCCCAATGAAAATGAACATACAACAAAAATGAGAGCGGTGAGAAAACAAGATTTAAGAAACATCTGATCATAACGATAAAATCCAGAAATTTCGCTTTGGTAAGCTATTTCAAACTCCAGAAAAAAACTCTAAATGAGCTTTGATTTGGCCTGATTTTGTTTGAAATTAAATCACACTAGTTCATTCTTTGATTTAATTTAAAGAATATCGGGGCCTTTGATAGGAAATATATATACGTATATATAAAAACATTTAACAAGGAAAAAAATTATCTGGACTTGATTTTATGCATAATGATTTGATTGGAACTTGAAAAATGAACATACAAATGAACATGGGCTCATTTTGATTTTAAAACTAAACAAAAAATCAGACTTGGCTCAAATTAGTCTGATGGTGGGGTGTGTTGGCGTTAGTAACATTACACCACTCATAAACACCATGGTTTTGTGCTGTTTGATCAGTTTAACACTTCATTGGCTCTCAGATCTGATTTGGTTTTGTAAAAGCATTGCCAAAGAGCTGGCAGCCAGGAATCTTGATGGGGCTGGAATCAGTCGGAAGCTATCCAAACGACATGTGAAACATAATTAAGACACAGACCCCCTTGCGATAAGATCTTAATATCTCGATAGCACCAGGATTTGTAGTCTTGTAGAGATTTGTCTCTTTTAAAAAATTGTATTGTACTGTTGATGTCAAACGCACCTGCTCCCTTGAGCATTCACCGTACTACAGTCATTTAGATTTACCGCAGCGTTTCCACATTGTTTCAATAAAGAGCTGAAATAAGTCTGCCAGTCACACTTAGTTCTGTAAGTACACATCTCTGACCTTTAAATGGCACACACGGCTCTTTCTCTGGACTCTCTGTATAAACCGAGAGATTTCACGATGTTGCACCCTATCTCCAGTCTCACATCACTCGCTTGTATGTTTTCTCTAGATTACGATCATACGGAGTCCTTACTTTATCTAGATCCTAATCTAAAGAGGGCAGCTAGGCCTGCTATCATCCATTCTTATTAAGGAAACATGCAACAGCAATGTTATTTGTGCTTTAAGGACTTTCTAGAGTTCACCTTCATGTGTAGAACGCTGTAGTAAACACTAACAGCAACATATCGTGATTTTGTCATAGAGAAAAGGTTGATGGATCATGTAATGTAGTTTAGATGGAATATGTGGCAAAATGCATTTACATAAAAAGCGCTGAAATGTGATTTTAAGGCCATTTATTATGCGAAATTGCCGTAACTTTGCAGAAAATGTAAAATGAGAGTGTTGCACTTTGATGCGTTTGCAGATTAGCCAAAATTTGTAGTAAATGAACTCACTGGGGTCAGTGGATGTGTAGAACTTTGTTATTGACAGACATTCCAATTTTGTGGAAATGTGCAGTTCTGCAGGCACAAATTCTGAGATTCTGTGTGGCTCTGGCTATTAGCAATCTGAATTATTGATCAAGCCCAAAGTCTACAACTAAAAACTGAAACTTAGTACAGGACCCGTTGTCCTGAATATTATAGTGAGCTCTTTTGTTTAGCTAGAACAGTATGTGCTTTTCCCAGAAACCTTTGCATAACCTTACACTTCAGAACTTCAGTTATTTATGTTGTGTTTCTAGAAATCCAGATTTGCAAACTTTAAATATACTTTTCCAATGATGCAGTAATACTTTTCTTTAGTGTTTTTGTCTTGTTTTCCCAGTAAAATATTTAAACATCCATAACATAAGATAAATTTACTTGAGAGGCAAAATTGCACAATATATAAAAATTTGAATTGTTTTATTTTCTTACCATATACTTTTTCCTGTTACATACATTTACATACATTTTACATACATTTAATTATAGTGATGTTTATGCTTAAAAAATGCCAATGATGTATGAACAATAAACTTAATTTAAGATGTATTCTCTGATCTTACACTATTTTGCTTCTCGAGTAAATTGATCTTACTTTAAAGATAATTGCAATTTACTGAAAAAAAACCAGAAAAAAAAAACAATAATACTGATTAAGAAAATATCTTATTTGCATTGTACCAGTGGCCTTTCTCAAACTACTTCACACCCTTCAGTATATGTGGAGGATATGGATAACAGCCACTGTTCTGCCATCCACACACAAAGAAACAGTTCATGTATGCTTAAAAGAAATGTTATTATCCCCTGAGGCTGTTTAATAGACATATTACACACATGAATGAATCATTTGCAGGCTCTGCATGGTCTTTCTTTCATGTGATCAGAGAAAAACCCTTTGGTGGGAAGACTTGTTTACTTATTTTTTCAATCCTCAAAAAGGGATATTCACCCATTCCCATATTTCTCTCTCTTTGTAAAATCCAGTGGGCTAAAAATCAGAGCAAACGGCGTGTGAGTTGCATTGTGGGTATGGCAAGAGTAAAGGTGTTGTTATTGAGTTACTGTGTTGTTTTGGGTGAGGAATAGGGTCAATAATGTTGCTAATTTATCATTGCTGCTGTTTAATCGACTTGAATAAACATTGTTTTTAATGAGCGTCTGTGTCCCAGGAGCGAACACTCCTATTAGATCAGTGTCGAATTAGGGTTTTGGCTCAGTGAAGAGCACATTGTGTGGAGCACATTCCTTGAGGTTTTTATTGAGCTGTGATTGCATTAATCCTGTTTATAACCATCTATATAATGAGGCTGCTGTGTGGCAGCTCATTTCAGGAACCAAATTATCCTCTTAGCGCTAGCGCTAACTGCTAATACAGTTCTACTCTGCCGAGCTCGCTCACTATTTTTCTCACTATTTCTCTCTCCCTCCCCTCCTCGGTTCTGTGCTGACTCTAGTTATTTTTGAGAGGAGTTTTTTTTTTTTTTTGGGGGGGGGGATGACAGAAAAACAGAGTGAAATGAATGCATTTGGAGTAGGGTTATAGATTGATATTACTCTGGTCGGGTCTGGTTATGGTGTTTCTCTCTCCTGAGCAATGGCCTCAGGGATTTAGAAGGATGTGGATCTGTGAACTACTTTGTGGAACTGCAGACTACCCCATGCTAATGTACTCTGCTGTGTGTTTATCTTTTCATTCGTATTCAAGCTTGTATTGTCTGTCACTCAAATCAAATACAGCCCGCTGTTCCAGCTAGTCTCCATTCAAGAGCCAAATTTTCCAAAACACCCAATTTTGCACATGCATTTAAGCCGGAGAGAATAACAACAACCTAATTAAGATATTTCAGCACATTTAGAAGGTGATTAAACTGGATTGTGGGCGTTTTTTGCAGTGATATACTACATACAAATGTAGCGCAAACACATTTGCACTCGCTCACACAAACAAAAGCATATTTCAGCATTAGTTACAGATGTGGCTTTCATTTCACATTTTTAAGTCAAACAAAGACTCAAGGACTGAAGATATTTGATGGCTGGAATCAAAGCAAGCCCGTCAAACTGCATTATCTTTGCTGACAAGAATCTCAGCTGAATAAAGCCAATAAATATCTGCAGGGCATATGTGTGACTCACACTATCTGTGTTTGTTTTCCTCAAGTAGATAATGCATTAAAGGTTTTGCACAGTCAAGTCTGTATTTTTATGTCAGTTGATGGACCTTTTGTTTTCTAAATTAAAAAACAGGCAATTCTTCTTCAACTGACAATGCAGTACTTACCGATTTGGATATAAATCTCATCATAGCCGTGACTAATCAAACAATCCATTGTATCATGTACCAAAAGTGGGTAATGGGATATCTTCTGACCTCTGCTGTAAGCAGATCTGGTGTTTGGTTCACATTCAGAACAGAAGCGGAGGAAATCAGGTGGTGCGATAATGGCGTTCCTGCCCCGCTGCTCTGGAGGGATCAGACAGAGAACCTGTCGCTCGTAAGATGACATATTCAGCTGTGCCTGGATTGATTCAGCACCTTGCCCAACTTTGCTTTCCTTCTCTCTGGGGTTTTGTGTGTGTATGTGTGTACAACAGCTCTGCAGTATTAGTTCCTTGCTCTCTGCTTTACTGCAGTACTTTACACACATACCGGGCTGAGCTAATTTAGCTAGAGGTCTAGGACAGTCCATTCTAGAAAATGAATTTAAAACATTGTTTCTTAGATTAGTTTCAGATTAGTTTTGTCTGCCAATTTACGTAGTCATACTTTTGAATATCATTACAAAATCTGGTCCAGTTTGCATCTTATTCTAGCCAAAACAACACCTTATTAGACAGGAAGAGCCTGTCTGAGTGACATGAAACATAACCAATCACATTTTTTCCCCTGTACATTTTACTTTTTCTGTACATCTATACATTGAAAGTAGAGTCCAGTGCCATTTTGGACCCCATTGACTTTCATTGTATGGACAAAAAAAACATTTTTGGGTGAACTATACCTTTAAGTACAGATTGTTTAATAACTTAAAATCTAATTCTAGGCCTGTCTGTGGATATCTGCTTTAAATGCTACTAAGGGCCTCCCTCGGCCAAAACTAACTAAATATTTAGGATAAGATGAGATGGCACTAACATAAAAACTAATCACAAAGTGATTAGTTCTATACAAAAGTGTCCATTGTATCAATTTGGATTGCAGCCGGATTGCAGATTGAGATTTAGAGAATCTGTTGTCATTTTTGTGTGCAATATTCATCACCATCTGTGGATGTGACTGTGGAGGGCAGCCTCTTTCATTTCTGTGGGTTTGGTTTCTCCGTTAATAGAGCTGTTTGGTGCTTGTTCTATTTTTTATGACACCCAGTACGATAGTTGTACCATTTCAGCTCAAGAGGCATTTGATTTTAACTTATGATAATATCACAAATCAAACCCTGGCGTACTATTGACTGACACTTATAATGCCAATGGGGGGCCATTAATATACAAAAGCGGTTACGTTATATAAGACATGCATAATGAATGTGCTTCAGTAGTGTATTGACGAAGAAAAAAACCTGAGATGTCAGTCTTCAAGTGCTTCGCATTGATACAATCCTCCAAGGCAGCCGTGAAACCCAGAGCCCTGATGGAAATAAACAGTCCCATTTTGTCAATCTTCCCTTTGATGGAAGACAGTCCACAATGCACCTGATGCCAAAGCACCACATTTCCTTTCTGCTGGACCAGTTATCAAATGCCAGTGGTTTGCTTTTCATAAAGCTTACCCAGTCCTTTACAACATCAACGACATGCACTTTCAGTGGGAAACATCAAAATGAGCATCATGAATGAAGAAGAAACTCTCCTTCTGTGACTCACTTTGCAAAGATGTTCTAGTGCCATTCAAAGGTTTGGATTTAATTGGCTCGTTTTGAAGGGGTAGTTGATTGTTTGAATTTAAAACGGAATCTTTTTAAACAATGCAACAATAAAATTATACAAGAGCCTTTTTGAGTAGACTTCAAGCTTCTTTTCAGTGCAGCGAGGTGTGTATGGTGTTGGACGGTAATGAGCTTCTTTCTCCAGAGCGCTCTGTTGACACTCCTCATCAGGTTAAAGGAAGTGCCTCTTTCTTTCTCGTTAACAGCCTCTCCCAGGTGTAAGACATTGTCTTTCAGAGCTTCCTTAAGTGAATGCAGTGTGTTATTTTGCTGTCAGAAACTACATTGGGGATGATATTTAGTTAAGTCAACAGCATATTACCGTTTGACGTTGAGAACTGCATCACAAGGAACCCTTTCCACCAACATTTTTTTCCCCAGTCTGGATTTCATGAACATGAAAAGGGACCATATGTTTTAGCAGTTTGACTCCAGTGTGTATGCGAACACTTCAAAGCAGCTGCGCAGAGACTGAGACTCATATTTGAATTGAATTTCATATCTCTAGTGTCGCCTTCTCCCACAATAGGACACAAATGACTATAAATATATTTTTCAAGTGAGTGACAGTGACGTGACATGTGGCCAAGTATGGTTACCCATACTAGGAATTAGTGCTCTGCGTTTAACCCATCCTAAGTGCACACACACAGCAGTGAACAAACACACACACCGTGATCACACACCCGGAGCAGTGAAACCCAGTGCTTCAGTAGTGTATTGACGAAGAAAAAAGCCTGTGATGAAAAAAGCCAGATATCAGAGCATCAGTATTTCAAGGAAGATGAAGTTTGAATATTTGCAAAGAAGGGCAACAGCATGCTCTACAGTGTGGCTTATTGTACCCAAGCAAAGTACGTATGTGACGATACTGGAAAATCAGACACATTTCAGCTCTTCAGTGATAATGGGACACATGCATCATGATGTGATTTACCCAAGTAACACTTTGTTGTTCCAGGATCAAGACTCCTACCAACCAATCAACTCATTAGTTTTTGTTGTAGTTGTCTTTTAAGGAATCATAGACAACCCTTTTCTCTTTTGAGAGCTTTAATACAGATTATGACATAGTGATATTGTAATGTTTCTTGTTCAGATGACAGCCTAAGCTCAGACAACGAGGTTCTGGAGATTCCCTTCATCAGCAGATATAGAGCAGGAGTGTACGAATGCACCGCAGCCAACGAAATTGCAGTGGACACACAGACTGTTGAGCTCACAGTCAACTGTAAGTCTCTTGTGAATTTAAATCAACATGTGCTGTATATGCAACATACAGTTGGGACAAAAGACTATTAAATATTTATTTATTTATTTATAAACAAATATTTGGATTAAACATACAGATGATTTATTTAAAAATGAATAAATAAAAAATATAATTTAATTTTTAATTAAATGTTTTGAAATGCAAAATAAAAGCATCACTAAATATCAATACTTATGAACCCCACTTTATGTGTAAATCATTTGTTTGTTTAAACCTATAAACTCTTAGGATTTTATTTAAATAAATATAAAATTATAATATAATTTGTAATGAAATGTCTCAAAATGCAAAATAAAAGCATTGCTAGTAGGGCTGGGCGATATGACAATATTATCGTATATCGACGATGTCTCGTAAGTATCGCGATGTCGATGTCAACAGTCAGGTAACAGACGATTATCGACATTATCGGGAAAAAAATGACAAATGATAAACCTAGTAAGTTGCAAAAAATATTTTACATAGCCCCATAGTCACCATACAGGTTTTTTTGCATGCAAGAATGAAATAATTTAGTAGAAGGGTTGGGAATCGAAAAGCTGTTATCAGATCAGATGCGTACGGTCAGGAATCAAATAATTTGTTATAAAATTACATTTCGATTCTGCGTCTCGATTTCTGTATGCGCATTTATTGTGATTTCAAAAGATTCAACTGCAAGAAGACGAAATAGAACTCACTTCTGCACTCGCGCGCTGTGCACTCACACACAAAGCCACGCACAAAAGCCGCCTCTTATATATGCGAACACTGGACTGAGCTATCTTTCTCACGTTCTTACACATTCGAATGGACAAATACACCCAGAATTATATCAAAATATCCCATAAATACAATCGGTTATGTCTTAAGTGAACGTAAAGAGTTGAGAAAGAAAACAAGGGTGTATTGGATCCGTGCATTGACAGCATCAGCTGCCGCCAGTCATTATAATGTTAATCAAAGAACAAAAGAAAAGAAAATCCCTCAGTAATCTTGACTGAATCACTTTTGTAACCTCCGTTTATATTTTATTTGCCTGTTGTTCGGCGCTGACTACTGTAATGGCAACGTGCATCTGTGTATG